TATATATATATATATATATATATTGTCACATCACTACAAACTAAAAGAGCGCACTTTGCGGAACAAAGAATAAAAGCAAAAAACGGGCACAGTGATAACATGCAAAAATAAAAATAAAAAGAATATATATATATATACCTCCCACCCTCCCCTTTGTTTTGGAGCTACGTATCTGTTCCAGGGAGAACCTCCATTCGGACATTCCAAATTCCAACCCTACAAATCATCCCGTTGGAGCTCCACAGTAGAGTGGGAAAATCCTTTTGGGTAAGAGGGGAATCATCCTGAGCAACCAACTCCCACACACTGCGATGTCAGGATCTCAGCGCACAATGCCCAAATCCCCCACAACTCGTGCGGGAGGGAAAGGTGATGATAAAGCCAGACAGAACAGTCCTAACATAGTGCACAACAAGATACTGCGTTCTCATCATCAACTGTTACCTCCACGCACATCCAGGGGGAATAATAGGAGGGGCAGGAAAAAAAGAAGTCAGCAAGCAAAGAAAGATCACGAGGTTACTTGAAGAAAACATGGAAAAATCAGAGCATATCAATCCAGAACCATTAACAGCATGCAAATTTGATAGACAGAGGCAAGCTGACTTACAGGAGATGGGGAGAGAGAGTGCAGCACCCGAACAAGGAATGCATCGCTTGCTGCCTTATTTCTCAAGCCAGGGACCAGGCAAAGCCGGCAGGTGGGGATAGATTGACATTTTTCGTTTTTCTTTCTGAGAAAGCTGAAAAGAGAAACCGAAACGAGCAAAGCACTGAGGTAATACTTTCCAAATATTACCCTTGCAAAGCCAATAACGGTTTACTGAGCAACGTGTGTTTGCTTAAGCGCATCAGGTCCTGCCGCGCATGCACAGCCTCAAACCGGCATCCTCAGCCTCAAGAACGAAGTCTCATAGCCGCTACAGCCCTTGGAGGTGTTATGAAAAGTGAATCCATACTGGTCTTGATATCCAGCCCACACCCATGGCTGTAGCATCCTTAAACTCACACCACACACACAACACCGCACCACGGACATGGCAATCAACGCACTGCGCTCGGACAACATGCAGCCCCACACACCGCCACTTAACCTGGTGACTCCAAGGTGGGCCAACTTCACCAATCCTCAGAGGAACTTGCAGCAGGAAACTCTCGAATCCCACCGACTGCAGGTTATCCTCAACAAAATGGTTTTATCCTCCTCCACGGCTCAAGACTGTTCACGGTTTGAGAGCGGGATGGATAAATGGTGCTGCCACACAGGGAATGACAACGATCTTCCACAGGATCAGCAGCCTCTCCCTTTTGGCTGACTCGTCAACACCATTGCATTTAAAACTATTAGATAATAATCCACCAGTGCCGATTCAGTAAGTTGAGATTCAAATCGCAAGCTCGCATCAGATGCTGACCAGAGCAGAGCCCGAAGTGGAGGAGCCGAGTGAGGGAGGCACTAGCAGTACCGCAGACATAAGATAAGACTACCATAGAAGAACGAGCAACAACCGAGGGAACTCCGACACACTCCAGGTCGCCAACATTCAACATTGTCAACGCACCTCTCTACATGATTGTATCGGAGGCTCCCAACATTGTAACAGTAGACAACAGCTCCCCACCAGGTCCTGCAATCTTATGGGAAAACAACTCTCTCTTCAAACTGGTTGGCACCTGCAGATTCGTGCTCCTCGCAAGGGGGAGAAGCAGGTGCCTCTCAAACAGCTATATTGACACGCTCCTGTGAGCCTGAAACTTATCCCCCCTGCACTCCCCCATTCATGACAGGGGTACCCCACTCATGCACTATCACTCACACCTCGCCCAGAGAAGGAGGAGGAGCATGAGCATGGCAAAGAATGCACTGATTGTATCAACCTCACCTAAGATCTCAGCTCACATGATGAGGAAAGCAGATTTGGAAACGTACAAGACGATTTAATGCAAGACAGCACAGATCCCCACCCACCAGCTACCAAGCTGCCAAGCTGCTAAACCACAAGAAGGGTATTTCTGATGCCCCAGCATCTGCAGGAGGAAGGGCCATAATGCCAATCCGCTCAGACACTAGCTAGAGATAAAAGGAGGCACTGCAGACAGTCCTAGCAGAGGGTTACGTAACTCCCTCCTCCAGTCTGGACCCTCACAGTCATCCTCCCAGTCAGGAAATACAACAGATCTGGAGACTGGGTTATTGGACTGAGAGTAGGCTGGGTCAACAAGACAAGGGACTGACTTGGCACAGGTAATATATAGAGAGGCATAGCCTCTATAGATGACAGAATCTCTGTCAAACAATTTTGCAGTTGTTGGAAGAAGAGCTACAGTGCTGGGCGTCATTGACCACTCTCCCCTCGACTCTCTCTCTCTCTCCCTCTCATCCGCGGCTTGGTTGCTCAATAACGCAGTAGAACTTCCGCAACAGTCACAAATGGAAAATTGTGTTGACGTGTTGACATAGGCTGCGACTTGACTTTTGTACTTGCTGCAGTTCCAAAATTACATGCGTAACATCGGTCCCTTTTTGCCTTGGCCGCAGCTGGCCTCAATGATCCCCATCATCGTAGGACTTTCCTTGGACTGAGCTGCGACTGACCAGGACTGACAGATGACCGTCACCTAAGGACTGACCCCTACGGACCCTGGCCTACCGGTTTCTGTATGGCCTATGGTGAGGCATCGACCGGAGGAAATAGGGATTTGGTACAGGATCCGGACTATTTTATATGAGATTCATCCTTTCACAAGACCCGATACGGTACTTTTTCATGCAGACCCACTGCTTCCCATACAAGGTTCATGGGGAAGAGCATCGCCTATAACATGGTGGGTAAGGACAACTTGCTCATTACATACAACGAGGGCGGAGGAGATGTTGTTCCCTATGAAGATATAGAAATTGGGGACGAAGGTGCAGCACAAGTGGTGGGGAAAATATCGTAGTCATGGCCCACAAGGGAGGGCCACCTGGAAATGGGACAGTAGGAGAAGCCTTGAGAGGTGGGAGAGGCAATTACTCCCCACCTAGAGGCGGGAGAGGATACCACCAACAGCAAGGAGGTAGGAGCCCGTGTAAGTTCCCTCCGCATCCAGGGAAGGAGGAAGGACAACCCCTGCCAGCAATGCCGGGACAATGGCAAGTGCTTTTAATGCAGCAGGGACAGCCACATCATCCCTTTCCGCCCCGACTGGCAGAAGCAGCCAGCAAAAGGGACAGGGCGGTAGGAGGCTCAGTTGCCCCTACCGAGGCTGTGAGCACAGTAAAGAAGAGAGAGGTGCACGATGACCATTCTCCATCGGACTTGCAGGCCAAGGCAGAAGCTGAACCGGCCCACCACTCAAACAACTGCATGGAGATCGCTAAGCGCAGGGTCTCCATGAGTAGTTCCCTTGTGCAAATAGGTGAAGAGCTGATCGCCCTTCACACGTCTTGGAAAGAGACAAAGACGAAGAGAGTGCAGTTTGTAGTTGCAGATTTAGTAGTGAAGACGAGTGGGAGCGTCAATGGACCCAAGCTCCACTAGAAGTATATTTCACCTAGAGCAACCAAGAAGCTGCATTTAGGCATGAAGGTTCAGAATTTCGAACAACCTATTATTAGCAAGTTAGCTAACAGCAGCAAGATAACAGTATCTGAGTATGCTGGAGGGCAAAGGGACACTTTCAGTTACAAAACGGGAAGAAGGTAGAGAAGGTGCAGGCACAACAAGCCATCGTGGAAGACATCAGGGCCACAACCCAGCAAGCCTGGAAGTCCATGAAGCGACATTACTTCGAAGAAAAAGAACCCCTTGCCAGACAAGCTATCCGCGACTCCTACATGCAAGTATGGAGGGACCCGAAAGGAATGTTTTTGGTCCTGGACACCAATCTGAACATCATATGGAAACCATGGAGGAGAGATGAGACATGAGCGTGAATGCTAGAGTCAGGCCATTTCTACACAAGAAAGGAGAATTTTTACGAATCCCTCTCTAAATTAACTCTCCACCACTAAATAAAACATTCAGCTTACTGATCTAGCCCCAAGGCATCTGCCTGGGTGGTATGCCCTTGGTCGCCTGGACTTCCAGGCTAGGCTAAAACTGCTTCTCCCACAAATTTGAGAAAGGATAAAAAAAAAAAAAACAGAGAGAGAGAAAAGATGTGATTGCCATTATATTGAATGCGAAATTCGTTGGACAGTATATAGCATCCAAGCTGCCTTGTCCACAGCTCCGATTAAGAATGGAACAAACTACACTGAAACTAACACTTGCCGCACGACAAAAGGCACCCCACACTAAGATGACGCTGATTATGATCCGCCAAGCACAGACCGACAAACTACACGTTACAACTGAACTTCACTAGAATCAAAACTTTCCTTAAGCGAACTACTATTAACAAGCTAGGCCAGGAAACCCTTCGATGATTTCCAGGTCCCCTGTCTCCAACCTAACTTCGTCTTCCTCCCAAGCCAACTGCCACACGCCTCTCCACACCCATCGCATCCAATCCAGTCATCACTGCCCCCACCCCCCCCGCTGGCCCACCGCCACCCCTCCCCGCCCATGCCCTGCCAACCGCTTGACCTGCTGGCACGTGACTTGCATTGGCCACAACAGACAAGATGAGGGACATACGAAGGTCTGAGCAACAGACAACAACAACAGCAATGGCATCAAGACCAGAGCATCTCACGGCCACATGCCCCACAGTTGGAACTATGAAGACCGACGCGTCCAAGGGAGCAGGGCCCTAGGACCACGAATGCAGCCCTGCGAAGGGATACTGCGATCAAGCGGTCTATGGTGCATGGGTTCAAGGGTTTAAGGTTTCATGGGGTTGTGCTTCGAAGGTTTAGGAACCAACGGAGCACTGCGAAATGCAGCCACAAGCTGCACCACACACTGCATACTAGGACTCAGGGTCTCGGGAAACGGGAGGCAGGTTCAGGTCTTCACAGCAGATGGACATAAGCCCTGATGCCAGTCGCACTCTTCAAGGTGCAGGACTGAATCACACACCCAGTGACGCACAAGACAGATTCAGATGTACTGGCATAGTCTTTTCTTATTGATTTGCTTTCTATCGCACCGCATCGTATTGCATCGCATTCCATCTCATTGCAGATCCTCAGGCTTCAAGGATTATGAATGTGTTATGCATGGGTTTTAAGAGGGTATAGGGATTAAAGCTGAGTACCGGGTGGGCCAAAAAACAGCCCAGAAATATATATATATATATATTTTGAGGGCGGGGTCGTGCTGTGCTCGGCGAGGGGACCCCGAATCTGCAACAAAATTTTAGTTTGGGTGTGGGGGGGGGCGGGTGGTCTGGTGTGAGGGGG